ATTTTGATGAAAGGCTGAGAATCAGCTGGTGGGCATGTACACACAATGCAGACACACATGGTGGTCAGCAGCTGGAAATTTCAAAATGTTAGAGAGATTTCTGGTGGGTCTTTTAATTCACCTGCACTCCCTTTGGAATGAACATTTAGTTCTTGCTGATTTGTGGCCATTTTGTACAAAACGCAAAAGCCACCCAGGGATCATTTATTTTCATTGAAAGGCCTGAGGGGGAGCACAGGCAGTCTGACTGGCACAGCATCAAGTGAGTTCAGTCAGGTTAAACTGTCATGTCTGTGCTCATCTCACACACACACACACACACCTACGCAAAGCTGAACTGTGATGAAGTTCGGCCAAGTTTCACCACACAGTTGACCAGTCAGTGGATGTCATTTTGACAAAAATAAAACCAAAACCTTATGCTCTGAAATATGATTGAACTTCCTCACTGGACTCTTCGTATCAGAGTCACCTGTGTAGATGACAGAACATGGTGTAGAGTAAGACATTACCCCTCAGAACCCCAAGTGTGACATGTAAAATGAGTAATATTGCTGTTTGCCTTGAAAAAAAATCTGTAGGGCAACTGGACAAATCTGGACAACTGTTACTGTCGAACCCTGAGAGAACAATCAGAGCTGAAAAATCTGTTATTGCAGGTTTCAACACTAGATTAGAAAGGTTGCCAAAACTCCTTTTTGAGTAGGTAATTCAGTATCCCGACCCTATCAGCGGGTCAGGTCAGAGCTACTTCACCACTTCCATCTTTTTACACTTTGCTGCTTTGCTTTTTTTCATAGAGGTGCAAGGTTTCTTCCTCTCATTCCCACCAAAGCTCCATCCCCAAAACCTTTTGCTCTGCTCGCATAGTTGCATATTGTGAATTCAGAAGTTGTAATTGGCCACACATAATTGTTGAATTAAAAATACAGTATCGCTGACCTGTATGATCATGAAAGGATCTGCAAGTAATGAGGCATCTCTGTTTAGATAGTGACAGATTAAGCCCCTTTGTATGCAAAACTATGTCTCTCTACTAATTTGAGTCCAGGCAAAATTACGCTGACACTTCTTATTCCTCATTGCTCTGACACATCTCTTGGCTTTTTGTTTAGGGTCTTGATTCATCCCTCGCTTAGCCTACATAATTAGGCTGAATTATTCCACATATCTGCAGTGACTGCACAGTTCAGTGTATTTTGTAGCTATTTCTAAAAATGCTTATGCAAACTTTCTTTGCAAATGAGTTTTATTCTGGCTGTAGTTGTCCTTTCGGTTCACACATACTCAGCTGGGTTGTGTTCCTTCTTACAGAATCCTTCAGGTTGATTAAGCATTTGGTACATGTTGACAGATTGTCTGCTCCACCCACACGCAAACACATTATGAAGCCTCTTTGGCTTGACTACTTGTGGTGCGTGTTGAAACTGTGTTTTTGAAACTTAATTTTAGGTACTCATAAATTCCCCAGCCTTTTTTTTTTGTAGCAAAAGCCTTGACCTTAAAGTGCTCTTTGATTATAAAGTGTAATTACAGACTCGTTATGCCATACAGACTGCTAAGTTTATTAGCAGTGATTGGAGCAATTATCTGGAGATCATGGATAGTTTGTCCTAGACAGATTCAACAGCAAGTACTTTCCAAATATTAGTGGGCATATTTCTTGATTCCATTTCCTTTTGCAGTTATACCTGATGAAAAATATGAAGAGACTAGCAGATGAACACGGAGACATGCCATTCACATATCTGTCACCATGTACTTTGTGACACCCTGGGTGTTTTCTCATTTTCTGTTTCCCATTTTGCAAATTTATTGTGTACTTTTGCTGAAGCACAGAAAAACATCCTCTCATAAATATTGCCATATTTCAGTGCTGTACTCCTGTTTTTCTTTGATGTTATATGACCATCTCAAACAGTTCAGTTTAAACCTACAGTTTCCGTGATATTCCTTGTTAAAATTAGAATTCCATGTGTGATTTCCAGCATTTAAAAGAGTAACTGTTGAGTCTGTGAATAGCACTTTGTAACTATCCATTCAGTTGGTTAAGCCAGAGTATTAATTAGGGACGTGCCAATTTTGATCAGAATGGGCAGAGCAAACATCATCTGTCAGACACATGGGGCACAGATGTTTGAAACGGTCTGATAAGTGACTGCTTCCTTTTTTAACTAGAACTCTATGAATGGAGGAAAAAGAGTATCTCCGCTGAATAGATTATGGCTCATTTTTGTATTTTGGTGCATTAAAAATGACTGTATTCATTATGATGATGAACACATTCACATTTTCTTATTGCAATCTATCCGCCAGATAGTCTGTTTGATGGAATAGAAGCATTATGAGAGAAGAATTTTAAGACCGCACAACTACCGACTTTTCACTGCCCTACTGCTTCTCACTGTGTGTGGTGGAGAAAGGGGAAATAAGCGCTGCACCCAATTCTCTGAAATGTTGAGAGAAATTGTATTTTTTTTCTCTCTCAGTTGTTAATTTTTCAGTTGAGTTGAAGAGAAAAAAAATTGGCGCTGCAGGGAAGCTGTAGAAGGTTAAAAAACATGCAGCTGCTAAGCATATTTGTATATTAAAATAGAATAACATTGGATACTCGTATGAGTTATCTCACGCGGTACCTTGATAGGTTTTGTGTTTTAAGGTTATTGTTGAAGTACGCTAAAAAGAAAGCCAAATATTCGTTTTAATGACATCCACAGACAACCACTGAAATACGAGGAATCCAGGTAATACTATACTGTACGTATAGTGATATATGAGTCTGTGTTCTCTGTGGTACTGATGTATTATGTTGCATTGTATTGGTACTTACATTTTTTGACAATAAAAGGCCTTTTAACACCAAGTTTTAGTGGGAAGTGCTTAATACATTTTATAAGGGTTATTATTTTCTGCATTTATACAAACAGTACTTGAGCACTACTGTGTCATTAGATGTTTAGATTCTGCCAGGAGTAGAAGCTTTATTGCATTGCCGCACTCAGTGATTGATAAGACTCTTCAGTATAGGTGTCTGTCATTGCTCTGCTTGCTAAGACAAATAGGGATTTCCCTCCGGACTCCACTCACATCACTTCAGAGGCTTCAGAAAGAAAGAAACCTTGTTTTGTTTCCATGGACCTTGTCACCTTTTCTTATGCCTTTCTATTTTTCTGTGTGAGTGGTTTGAATTCAGCTGCTGGAGTGTATGTTCTGAGAACACCAGCCAGATTGTAGGTGTCTTGTGATCTTTTTTGTCAATGAGGTAGCGGTATTATGTTTTTTTTTATACAAGATGTTGGTGTTTTCTCTGTTTTCTCGCTGCTCTGCCAATTCCACTGCTGCCTTATTGTCCATCTTTTTTGCTCTGAGGCTCTTCCTGTGTTCCTCTTAAAAATTAAAAGTATGGTTAAATTAAAAGTGTGTCACATTAGTCCACTGTAGCTGTAAGCAACTAGAAACATTGAATGCAACTTCTAAATGCCTGCGTAATGCATTTTGCGCCAAAATTAGCCCAGGAAAAAAAGGGCCGCAATAAATTTTTCATTAGCAATACACACGTTTTATTTGTGATTTCTGGCTTCTTCTTTTTTTTTTAAATGACTATTCTTAGATCTTAGATATTTTGCTCCAGAAACCATGACAATGGTCTTTCAGATGTTCAAAAACTGAAATAGATTAGATTAATGAAGTTTCTATCATTGCATGGCTAGGCATGATGAGACAGCAAAGCTATACTCATTAATCTTTTAAGACTCTTCCACTGTCATCCCAGGGGAAAAGCCTAGTTGACTTTAGCTTCCTGAACTGTCAGTGGAGGAAGGATGTAAGCTTCCCACTGACATGAAGGGACTAGATAGACTGCCATCCTTGTTTCTTTGTTACTTCTTTTTCAGTCCTTCAACTTTCTCTTTTCCTTCAACCCCTCTCTTTCTCCTAATCCTGCTCGAAATCTAAATGCAAACTGTCACAGACCTGAAAGCAGGATCTGTAGCATAGCATTGCTGTTATTTGTCCTTCCCATTGTAGTTAACAACATATTGTCCTGCAGAAGAAAAGCAAAATGTTTTACAGTGTAAACTTGAGAAGTTCCTGCAGTCTGAACTAATTACAGGTCTTGTTTTCCATTGTTGCTAGTTAGAATATTAAGAAAACAACTTTTTTCTGTACCATAACCAAACATACCAAATTCTGATTCTTCATTGTTTTTTGCACAATAAATGTGCCATCCAACGGAGGCTCTGAGATACCACCAGATTTAAATATCATACTGGGAATCTAAGATATAACGTATAAGCATAAGATCAAGTGTTGGTGTTTTTATTAAACTCAAAGTTAACAGGCTTTCATCTTCATGTATATGGTCATTTATCATTTCAGACCTGTATTTGAACTGTTTGATGAGAAATGGGTGAAACTGGAGCCTTTTGTGATCCTTTTAACCCCCCGATGTAAGACTTCTGACCTAACAGTATACTTTCTAGGACATGAGCAATACGTATCATAATATATCATTTGCTGTGAGCGTTTATATTCCATTTATTCTCCTTTTGTGAAAACACTGTATTTGTGGTGTTGAATCATGATGGCATCATCCATATCAAATTAAACTGTGACATTATGAATCATTTAACTCATAAAAACCATTAGGTAACTAGATGGTTTATTATATCTAGACAAAACAGTTTTTGTATCTGAAGGTTCATCTTCATTTTGTATCATCAAAGTATTAAAAAAAAACAGATGCACCTGAAATAAACCCATAATTGGCGTCAGTAATAGGCATTTGACAGGCTAATAGTTTAATTCTGTGAATTATTTTTGCACTGGTCAGGGCTGAGCTGCAGCGATGCTTTAGTTATTTTTTTATTTTAGTCGAAGTATCTTCAAACACGCCACAGATGCGACTAGAGATTTGGCCTCTCTGTTCTCGGGTGTCTTTGGGAGCAGAACTTTTATGTGGGATGCTGTAGCTGTTGTCTTCTTTGTTTCGTTCCCGGCAGCCACCAACACTCCTTTGTGGTTTGGACAACCCACTCTCTCCTCGCTGCCTGTCCGACTTACCACCTGACGGGGTAAATGTACCAGTACATTGCCTGTGCTGTGTGTCAGTGTGATTGTGACCGCTGTTTAAGCCCTGCCAGTTTCTCAGCGTTTAGTGGTGGTGTTTCACAAATTCCTGCTAGACTCGATCCATGATCATCTCTCTCTAAACTGTACCTTCATACCGATCCCATCCTCTCTCATCGTTCGTTTTCTAAATGGTGCTGTATTTGAGCATTAAACGTTAAGATGTGTGATGTAATAGACCTTAAGCATGTGTAGCCTAGATCATAGAGCTTCACCTTACCTCTTGTGGTAGTAGCAGTCTAAATGTTTTTGTGCTTATTTTGTCTTTGTTGTTGATTGTATCCTCATTGATCACCCTACCAGCTCCTCAAATCTTGTACAGCATGTGAAAGGAATGACAATTAAATTCCACCTGACCTTCTCTTAATTATTATCCATCCTATATCCCAAATGTCTTTTGCCTAAAGTCCTGAATAAAAAGACTGCAGTTGACTGTTGTCGGCTGAAGTCTTGGTGTGGTGTGTTCAAGTGCAAAGATGTGAGGCAACTTGAGGTGGCACAAAACGTTTGATCAGTGAGCCTTTGTTGGCTTTGAGGTCGGCTCGGAGTATCGGAGCCCTAAAGTGAAGTTTCTTTGAGAAGAAAATAGAAAGGAAGTTTCCATCCCACAATTCCTTCAATAAAGTGGCCATGTAACGTTTTCTTTCCGTAAGACTAAACATGGTCAAATTGAATAACTTTCTCTGTTATTTAACCTCAGTGACTTTTCTAACTATATTATGCAGTCTAAGACGTGGTAACATGTCTATGGTGTTTACTTTTCACACCCCCAAGTGACCTTAAACAATTGTGACTCACAACTTTGCAAATAAACATGATTATGCATTTTGAGCATGATGTTCCTTTTAGTTTTCTTTTTTTTTGTATTCTGCAAGAAGAACGAGAAAACAACTCCCAGCATTCTCATTTACTCTGTAAAGTTCATCAGTCATTGTGCAATAGTTATTTTAATGAAAATTCTTAAAAGCTGGACAGTTTCCTATTAATGTGCACATAGTGAACATGAGAGGGTCCACTCCATTTTTCTGTTTAGAAACAAAGTCGACTAAAGCAAAGGGTTCTGCTGCTCCTACATACCTGATTTGTTCCCCACTAATATAAAAATGCTAATAGAAGCAGGTAGAAATAACATAGAAATCCTTTAAATCATTAAACTGGCAGATAATTGATTCAGCCATTAGTGCAATCTTATTCGGAGCCTTTATGCCCAAATTTCTGTCTACATGTAATGACACTAATTTAATGTCAAATCTCCTAAATCCATTTTAAAATTGTTTTCAAAGAAGGATCTTGCACACTTTCTCTTTCTCAGTTATATATTTATTATACCGTCAAAATGACTGCTCTTCTTTTCTGTTTCAAATAGAATTCACAATACTGAGTGGCTCACTTATAAATGTTTTTGATATGGTCTGATATCGTAAAAAAAATATTTTTTTTATGGGAGCTTCTCAGTATTGAGGACGTTCTTTATTGTTGGCATGTACAGATGAGTGACAGTTTAAAGGAAAAAACAGCACAAACCTCCTAGTCTCTGGAACCATCTCCATTCTCTCATATGTGTTCAGTTAAAACACATCATTTTCATTTTTATCAAACCATTCAGTGACCTTGCCTGTCCTGTATGAACAGATATGCATTTGTTATGTTTCTCCAGTCATTCATTTAGGTTTTTCCTTTGATTTTTCACCCATCTGTATGTCCTCCTGCACATTTTCACATTTGTCCCCCTTTCTTTTTAGTGTCCCTGTCATTATGAGTAAGGAAGAGAAAGAGGATTGTTTTCAGTGGAAGTAAAATAAGTTTTGAATATCAGATTATTAGCCTAAACCTGCCACTTTAATGAACAAGTTCATTTCAAATGCATGAAAGACACGTGGCTTTAACAATAGCCTGCCAAACATTTTAATTGCATTTAAAAGCTATGTTTTATTTAGAAATGTTGAACAATATCCCCTAAAGGCACAGGGGACATTCGCTTACAAATGATAAAACCACTCTGTTAACTGCAAAAAATCAAGTGTTCATCCACGCAAGTACTTAGAATACTTCATTATATAAATAGTCCACCCAAAAACCATTAGTCTTCTACATCTGACAAGCTCTGCCTGCTCATGGGCCAGTTTGAAGACACAAATTTACTCCTATGCTGAGCCAGACATTTTTGTAAAAGAATATTTTATCAAAACCAGGCCAACCTTCATCTAAAAAGTCTGGGATGCCACATTCATTGACTATATAGTCATCTCTATATATTGCATGGAAAATAGTTGTAATATTTTAAGCTCGGTTTTCATTCAGTGTTTGAAAATTAAGATATTTTGTGTCGTAGGCCTTCTCTATGTGCATTACCTCTTACTAAAAACAGAGTCAGACAAGTCATTCATTTTAACTTCATCTTACTTTAAAAAATACTGACCTGCCTCAACCCAAACTACTCCTGCTTTTCTATAAATGCTGTAAGAGGACTTGTTTCACATTATTTTAACAGATTATACACTGAGGTCAGCTGTTTGTTTATAGAGTCAACAAACTCACTTTTGAAAGAAGGTTCAACCGAGCTTGGCATAAAAGTCAAAGCAGTTTGTTTATGATGCAACCTTTTAGAGACAGATATGCTATTTGATAGATGACAAGTGCTTGGTTGATTTTGTTGATCCACAGACTCTGTATTCTACCCAAATGAGCTTCAGTCTCTAATTGTCAGTTTTGTCAGAACAAATTTTACTCCTATCCCCAGAGTATTCCCTTTGGGGCTCTGAGTCACGCTTGCCATTTTTCCATGTTCATTCTGTGTGGAGCAGTTAAGGACTTTGCATTACATTTTAGTCAGACTGTCCTAGAGCACAGGAATCATAAGAATTGGACTATACAGATGAAAAGCACTAATATATCACGTTCCCACAGAGAAGGTTTTTTTTTTTCCTTCGGCTTTTAGAGACCCAAAGAGTTTTGTTACAGTGTGGCATCTCCGGATTATAAATCAATTACACATTCTGAAATTAAGTTTCATTCACTTCAATCATCATTAGCAGTGTTTTGTCTTGAGTTATTCTGGTTTCTTCCAGAGTTCTGAAAATTGAGTTGTATTGAGGATTCATATTTTAGTCACAGTTTTTCTGAAAACAAATGATCTTTTCGATGCTGTGCAGCCCATTTTAAAATTCTTTAATTTAATTTTGTGTCCTGATTTAACTCAGAGATGATACATTACATAGCTCTGTTGTTTATTTAAGGAAGCAGAAGCAAGCTTTCACATCCATCAGTGTCCTGCTTAAGTCAAAACACTACATGTAAAAATCAAACCAATAAGCCTCCACAATAATTTTAATGCATTGCAAAATGTTCTAATAAAGCAAAACCTAAAGTTGTTTCGCTTTCACCTTCTTACCTATTTTTGCAAATACTTTAGTTTTATAATACCTTTCTGTGCTGCGCTTTGGGTTTTAAAGCTGCTGGCGGCCCCTGGAGGCCACAATGTTCATCATAACCCAAAATAAAGTAAAACAAAGTGTGGATGGAGCAAACCTGGAAATAAGCAACACTGGTCCTTGGTGTGGTGCAAGAGGAAAGGCTGTGAGGTCATTAAAATTTACTCCAAAATGGAAAGGGTTCATCATCCAAGGAGCATGAATGTGTTCAGTGCGTTTTCTTGGGAAACTGCTCTCTAAATTTGGATATTTGATATTATAGTAGTAAATGGCAGCATTTGTACGCCACTTTTATCCAAAGGGCTTTACAATTGGCCTCTTATTCACACACAAACACTCACAACACCGACAGATAAATGGAAATGGTCAGTTGTGGCACTAAACTAAAGGTCAGGGTTTCACTAAAATGGCAGTATAGCAACACAATACATTCATTGTTTTAGAAAAAAGAAAAAAAGAGTTTGTGTGTTTTATACTTCATCAATTAGGGATTTGTTTGCATATTCGCACAACATAAGTTATAGTTTTATTGAGTGTTAGCCTTTGCTATTTCACAATTTACAAGAAAGAGACATTTGACTTCTAAATGGTAAGAGATAAGAGTCACATTCATTACTGATGTTATGGAGTTATCTAATTTATCCTGAGCTCCATCTCCAAGATGTTAATTATTGGCTGGTGCTAATTTCCCACCCTGTTAAAACCCCTGACTGTCCTTAGTAGAGCGGGAGTTTCCCAAAGGCACTTTGGGAAGGGTGGAGTACACATTTGTCTCTTCCCTTGCCACAATTTCCCCAGCTGTTCAGACCTTGCAGAACTGCAACTTCTAGATGACAATTTGTCTAACAATTAGGCTACCACCACGCAATATGTCCTTAAGTAGTGTCACTTTGAAAACTTCTCTGTCCTACTTTTCATAAGCTAAAATTAGATGGAAACACGTGTTTTTGCTACCCGTTTGAAGTAAAAACTTCTTTGCTTTTTCCTAACAGATCCCTCGTGGAGGACGACGACGCTCACATGAAAGTTGCTCTGGGCTATGGTGATATGGGCATCTCTGCCCACCTTCAGGCATCAAAGACAGGAAACACTCGATTTTTCACAAGCAACACACACAGCTCAGTGGTTCTTCAGGTGAGAGTTCAGAGATGTAGCAACAGTGTCCTATGAAGAAGTAGATTGAGTCACATATTGTCTAATCGAGAATTGAATCATGGTGTTTTAGAGATGCTCTGAATAATGTAAGATATATACAAGGGCAGCATGCAGAAAATGATGCAATTTTCTGCAATTTGACAAGTACTCAAAGACTTGGGATGATTCTAAAACTTCACTAAATCGGTTTTTGTAGCTCAGTAATCTTCCACTTTACATTAGGGCAAATGCTGCATATTTATTTAGAGATTTTCATTTAAATGATCTGTTATGGTCATTGAAAATAAAACTCAGTGATTCACTCACTTGTAAACTAGCTTCTACACTGCTGCCACTTTTTTTGAAAAAGAGCTACATCTTCTATACTTCACCCAAAAATTTCAAGGGGTATAAAGTCCCATAAAAATAATATATATCCACAATGCAAATTAATTAAAGGACAGAGGGAAGGAACCTGCCAACATTATTATAGCTGTATACACAATGCATACATTGTACTTATGAGACTGTGCTGACATCACATAGCAGTGTCTACTCCCTTGCCAATAAAAGCTCAGACTGAGCAGTAGTAACCTATTTTCCTAACTGCTCCACTTGTTTGAAAGATCCATTATCACCACTAGCCTAGTACCTGTAGCCACACCTACACACACTGATACAAGCAGAAAGCAAGCGAGAGGGGGGAAGCAGTAATAACCAAGTATAGGATTTTCATGCCTACCTTAACGTCTGTCTGCAAGACTCCAACTCCACCAACACTCTCCAAGTTCACTTCCTAATTGCGTTTCATTTTCATACATTTTGAAAAAGGGATTGATGCTCGACTTATCACTTCAGCAACACACCTTTTAAGCTGTAGCCTACATCTCCTCCAGCGTTGATGCACAGCAGAGTGCTCAGCGCTACGTGCGTGCATGCTGTTACGAACTGATTTCATCCTGCAACTTTTGGAAGGAACCAGTACCGTCGGGAAAGTGTGTGTGTGACTTTTTGAGTTATGATCTGTGACATAATTAGAAGAATACATTTGACTAATAATATAAATTGATCATAACTACACATAGTAGTGATACAATAAAATAAAAATATAAAAAACCCAGATATGATTTATCCATGAAATAGTGCTGATTTATAGAGCAAGACAGTTATTCAGATGTATTCTAATTTTTTAAATTGGATAAAGCTCTATCCAAGTTAATCTATGCCTACTACAAGACTACAAACCGGAAAATGTCTCTGCAGTTTAAAAACCCTCCACATTGCAAAATCCAATCTACGTCAAAGAGCTCATAGCGGGAATTCTAGGATACAATTTAACAACTTGTATAATATTGCAATGATTAATCAGAATAATTTGGGATTTGGTTTCTGTGTAATTTGATATGATATGAAGACTGAGAACAACAAGAATATTATGAAATTATCCCCAAGAATGTAACAAAAAAGCTGTTACTAACAGAATTTAATAAGTACTTGAAGCGACTTACTTTCCACCCAAACATGTATGCATTATAAGCAGTCACCTAACAGTTAACGCACACAGCATCATATTGATACTGAAGAACACAAACCACCCTCTCATGGAAGTGTAGCCACACATTATATCTTCTTTATATCTTTCTATTTTTAGCAACAAAAAGAACAAGAAAACAGCTCCCATGTAGCAGAGAACTAAATAATCCATCAAAATGCCACCGTTAAGGAGAAGCAAGATACTGTATTACAGCATACATTTCCAGTGTGCTCTCAGTGGCTGCTTTAGCACGTCACCACCAATTTGCATTAAGTTACCTAAAGCTGTAGCGGTTGGTGTTGGCATCGCGCTGTTTGCTGCTGCCACAGCAATGGCTGCCCTTCGTCACCAGCCCTCATTTAAAACAAATGGCTGTTGGCTGCTTTTGCTGCACATTAATCTTTTGGTGTCAGAGCACAGTAAGGGGAATGATAATGATCTTTCTATGCCATCTGATCTTACACCCTTTAGCCACAGTTAGTTAGTGGACTCACTCAGTCTTAGTCTCAGTTAGTGGTGTTTTTGAAAGCAGTCTACCCAAATCATACCCGTTGAATATTACAGGAGTTTACTATGTTATAGTAGTATGTTAATAGCATGTTTTCTTGCTTGGGTGCCATTGAGGCTACCTTTTATGACCGTTAGCCATGGCAAATGAAGAGGCAGAGACAAAGGATGCATTTGATCCATTTCCCCATCTAATGCAAAAAGCTTACAGTGTGGTAGTAAATGAAGTAAGTGAAGACATGTAAGAAAAATATGTTGTGAGTACATTCTGTTTTTGGGGGGGATTATAGGATTATTTGTTTTTAAATATCAACAATTTCCCAGAAGAGATTAAAAAAGAAGTGAATCAATCTGTGTAGCCAGAGTCTGATACACTGCAGGCAATGCCTCCATGCTGTACAAATCCATATTATGTTGCTATGCCTACAAAGGGCCAATGTACTGTAGCTGTAGCTCCAAACATTTAATTCTGTTACTTGCCAGACAGTGAAAAAAACAAGTAGGCCCTAATCAGTCAGACAGGCCAAGTAGACCAGAGGACTGTCGTACACCATTTTGTGTCCATGAGCTCACATCTGGCGGGCTGTGGCCAAACACTATTTTGACTGATCTTTACTGAAACATTGAAGTTCAAGTTTGTGATTAGACAGGAAATACAGTTCAACTGAGCCTGGTCTGGACTCTGCAGAGGTCTACTTCTCTCAGCTTGGCTCAGTAACATGCATCTTCCACCTTTCTCTTCTCCTGTTAGGGATTTGACCAGCTGAGGATAGAAGGTTTACTATGTGACGTCACACTGGTGGCTGGGGACGGTGATGAAGCTTTCCCTGTACACCGCGCCATGATGGCCTCCTCCTCCGACTATTTCAAAGCCATGTTCACAGGTGAGTCTGCAAAGCATGACCAGAACATCTGCTCATCTGTGGGTTGCCGTTTCACTGGTACCAGCTACACTGATGTTCCTTTTTTTGTATTGCATTGATTGCTTTATATCTTCTTCCCTCCCGCACTGTATTCTCTAATAAAACATTTTTTATTCATGAACTTTTAATGCTTTAACACAATCGCAGTCATGTCACTGTCATTTTGTCTCCTGAGAAATGACTCAAATTGACCTTGGGCCCATGTCCCTCCAGTAATGTATATGCATAAAGATTTCCATGTTATAAAACCAATCTGGTCATTGTTATGCATTCATGTACATGGTCATTAGTACTTATGATTATAAATGTGACTAGTTGGCCCCTTTGATCTTGTTGGCGCACTGTATGCAGAGGTTGAAGGACCTTGTAGCTCATTTTTAAACATGGCAAACATTTTAGGATGCAAAAAGGTAATAAAACTGAAAATGCATTTGTAATGCATCAGGTTTGTAAGTTAAACTCAAGGAAAATTGGTAACAGATGTTTTAAGTAAAAGTGACCTTACTGCTTTGATCGGACCTTGTATGAAGCTGTAGTCTACTTCAATTAAGGTGTTATTTTTCATGACTAGAGGTAATTTCTTTGCATTACATAGCACATAAGGAGCAGAGAAAGGAATTTAGATGTTAGAACAGTTGGCGGGGTTATTTTGGGTCTCATACTGTATCACTAGTGGATGTAAATTTGAAGATTTGACATTTAAAGTATATGATTAAGATGAAGAAGGTTCTGCAATGAGAACAGAAGAGGAGCTTGTTAAAGTAGGAGTGAGGGGAAACTGGACTTAGAGTGAGGGATAGCTCATTAGTGATAAGGGAGCTGTGTGAGCATAGATGCTGAGCAATGGGATTCTGCCTAACACATTCAAGTCCTTTTAACACTGAAAACATTTCATTGACACACAATAAGACAAATTAAATAATGCATGTTTTGTATTTTTGATATTTTGTTTTGTTTTTAATATTTCTGCGTAATAGAATTTGTTGAGTTATGTAAGCTTTATTCTTCAAATTCTTTTCAAAAATCAAATAAATGTGGCTACTCTCAGGTCTGTCAGTCAAATAAGATTATGTATCAGCTGAACCAAGTGTAAGCATCTCCTCTCTCCTGATGCAGGTGGAATGAAAGAACAGGATTTAATGTGCATCAAGCTTCACGGAGTCAATCGAATAGGCCTGAAGAAAATCATTGACTTTATCTACACAGCCAAGTTGTCACTCAACATGGAGAATCTGCAAGACACACTTGAGGCAGCCAGCTTCTTACAAATTCTCCCTGTGCTGGACTTCTGCAAGGTTTTTCTTATATCTGGGGTAAGTAAGCAGACCCAAAGTTGCCCATAACTCTACACTATACAGCTTCCCTCTAGTCTTCACTAGTTGTACATTTGCTGTTTAACATGTTTAAGGTGACTGGATAAAGTAACTGGATATAATTTTAAATAAATGCTCTGTTTAATTCTAATCAGTCTTTCCCCAAATCTTTTGGCTTTAAACTGCTCTTAATATTCCTGCCAAGTTAGAAGAGGAGGCAAGTACGTACATAAAACATTTGTTGGTTGCTGTTTTTCTGTTAGTAGAAATTGAGAAGAAGTCAGAAGAAATAATTTTTTTTATATATATAATAATTTGAACTCAGTGCTATGAAAATCTGAAAACATGATAAACCTGCTTGGTGAGAAGAGCAACAGTTAACATTTTAAAGAAAAAACAGCAGCAGTCAGTCTGTATGAAGATTTCATTTGTATGTAGAAAGGTTTGAGAAGGTTTTTACTTGTTTTTAGTTTTAAATATGATGCTAAAATGTAACAAACTAAATTGTGTAGAATTATTTTCTTTTATGAATAATTTCTCCAGCCCTTATTGACATCTTAAAATTGCTATTTTATATAATTGCTGTGTATTTTGCCCACAGTTTAAAAATTGAAAGGTGTTAAGTTACATATTGAAATAAAACCGAGAAAAGCAGCAAGTGCTCTTGTACGCCACTTATGTTCTGTGTTAGAGGTGTAGACTATTTGTTAATTTGCCTCTGATTGCAGCATCCTTCAATGCGAAATCACTGATATTTTATAATTAGAAATCACTGTGTCTGAGGAGGCGAGTTTCTCTATACAAGTTGGAAAGATTCAGTCATCCATGTCCTCAGATGTGTTGTCAGTCTTAGTTCAAGCTTTCCAAGATTTTGATTTCTTCTTCCCTGCAGGTTTCTCTTGACAACTGTGTAGAGGTGGGGCGCATTGCCAACACGTATAACCTCACAGAGGTGGACAAATATGTCAACAATTTCATCCTGAAGAACTTCCCTTCGCTGCTGGGCACGGGAGAGTTTGTCAAGCTACCATTTGAAAGGTTGGCTTTTGTACTGTCCAGCAACAGCTTGAAACACTGCACTGAGTTGGACCTGTTCAAGGCTGCTTGCCGCTGGCTACGCTATGAAGACGGTCGTATGGACTATGCCCCAAAGCTCATGAAGAACATCCGTTTTCCCCTAATGAACCCACAAGAGCTCATCAATCACGTGCAGACAGTGGACTTTATGCGCACGGACAACACGTGTGTCAACCTTCTCCTGGAGGCTAGCAACTACCAAATGATGCCCTACATGCAGCCAGTTATGCAGTCAGAACGGACAGCCATCCGCTCAGACAGTGCCCACCTGGTCACCCTGGGTGGTGTTCTGCGTCAGCAGCTAGTTGTGAGTAAAGAGCTGCGTCTTTTTGATGAGAAGGCTCATGAGTGGAAGGCACTGGCACCCATGGATGCACCCCGCTACCAACACGGCATTGCAGTCATCGGCAACTTTCTCTACGTGGTGGGTGGCCAAAGCAACTACGACACCAAAGGCAAGACGGCAGTGGACACCGTGTTCCGGTATGACCCTCGCTACAACAAGTGGATGCAGGTGGCGTGCCTTAATGAGAAACGTACCTTCTTCCACCTCAGTGCGCTCAAGGGACACCTCTACGCTGTTGGTGGAAGGAACGCCGCCGGGGAGCTCGGTGAGTTTATTTTCCTGCTTGTTTGTTTTATCTTTCCTTTTAAGCAACAACAGAAGCCTTTAATTAATTTTGTATGAGATTATACACTTAAATATCAAGGAGCAGTAGGAGAAAGAATGTGCAGTTTATTAAGGCTTTAAGCATACTAATGCTGGTAATCAAGTGTTGTGCCTACACATCATTTGCTGTTTCAACATGTCACATGTGTTAATCTCTGTTTAATTTAATAGATTTTTAAGATGTGCACATTATTATGAACACCTTCACAGTCTAATGTAAATCAGTGTAGAAGCATTTCAACATGTTGTGTGATTTCATCATTTTTGAGGCTGTATTTGGTTGTTATATTTAAATGTTATATATTTTTTCACTTTATAATATAGTACAATCTAATACAATAAAGTCACAGCCTACACCCTTAAGTGTTCATGTTGAGCTGAAGACTTTACTGAGACACAGCTGAAGCTGGGACAGGAACTGCACTAGCAGAGGGGATTAAGTGAAAGGTTGTGTACATTTTGTCAGCGACTATAAAGGTGTCGTACCGGCTCATTTTTAGCCAGTACATGGACATTTGGACTGACTGTTCACCCTGCTGGTAGAAACACTTGAATGGACTGATATATTTATATCTGTTGATTGTAGTTTGGTTGTTGATGCTGAGTAACCAATGTGGAATCTCTGCAGCCGTAACTGTGGACCACAGAGAGGTGCCACCCAGTACTTAAATTCAGCTAACTGCAGCGGACAGAGATGGAGGCCACTGTGTGAGCAGTCTTCTCTGCTGGGTTATAATTAGACCAAAGAACACGGCCCTGGTTCACTGCCCGTCTACACAACTGTCTTTTTCACTTTACGTTCCACTGCCCTTTCACTGCATTTGGTTTGGCCTTGATGTGCCCAGCCCTGGCATTATATCTGTTTACTCTGGGTAGGTCATATGGGTGTGATTTTGTTGTTTGTCTAAAATGCCCAGATTATAAAAGAAAAGCATAACGACGTCAAGATGGATATTTACAGGAGGAAGCTTTCAATCTTGTGCACTTTGCTTTTTTCTTCTTTTTTTTTTTTGTCGTTTTTCTTTTTGGTTACGTAGGCAGACTCCATGGCCAGTAGGCTTGGTTTCGTTCATGACAAAAATATATTTTGGAGAAAACTGATGTGACTGAACGACGGGTCCCATTTTTAAGATGCCATTCCTCATTATGATATCTTAAGATTTGTAGGCGGGGGTTGTTGATGCATACTTTAACTTTAAAAAACCATTTTCAGTGTCACAAACATTTGACAGTTATTCAAGATTGTTGATTTTGTAAATTATATTTGTCTGCACAGTAGTGGAAAGATATTTTAATGTAAAAGAAAAGCTGCATTTCAGAATATATAAACTTGCTTTTAATGATCTTCTAGGCTTAAATAGGCTCTTTTTAGGACCTGCTCCACTGAAGAAAGATTTACAGAAAATGTAAGGCCTCCAAGTCAGTAGTCTTCAGTGTGTTTTGGCTTGCAGTCCTTTCAAACAAAGCAAAATCTAAAGCAAAAGAGTTGGATGTTATTCTTCTTTCATTTCCTGTTAATAATCTGAGATTATTGCGGTCAATCACACTCCACAAACCATTTACAGTATCTATCAATCCCATCACAGGGTCTCGACCTCCATGCTCTAGGTCAGAGCAGTATGCTGCATAGTAATTATTACCAGATGTCACATTTGCAGCTCTATTACATTTCAGTGAACAACCTGCAGGGAGAGAAAATCATGCTAAATAGGAATGTGACCTTTTCAGGTGATCATAGGAAAATCAGATCTTTCTATTTAAATTAGTGTACCCATAAGTAAAATTAGTGAAGATATCGGCCTTTGGTTTATGTTGGTAAATCAGCATTCAGAGTTCATACATACACACAAGTCAGTTTATCTTTATTTATTAAAAGATTTTGAATATAGATGGCCCTGCTCTGTATTCAGTTTAAATGTGTTTTACTTCTGCTCAGTACATCCATTGTTTTCTAATGAGATTGCACTACTTCCACTGAGTGGCTGCAGGATTCTTTTTTTTTTTTTTTTTTTTTGCACTGCTCAAGGTCACTTTGATGATGGCTGTTGAGCAAGCAGAGTAAGGTATTTATTTTCCCCACTGAGATTTCCCCAGCCGGCCCAGGGAAGGCTCAAGGCTTACTGCCGTATTTCAGAACCAGTATGAACTTTATTTTAAAGTTTACCTTTAGACCTTTTTAAAAAGTGCAAAGTTTTATTCATGGTCTTCAGCTGAGGCGACTTATTGTCTCTGGCCACCGTAAATCAGTTCACCAACTACTTTTCCAATAGCTGCAAGATTTTTTTTGTCTAATATCTCCACTCTGCTTTGTGACATGCAAAAATACAGTATCTTTTGCATGGAGAGGAGTCTTCCCTCAGCTGGAAAGACAACGTATCTATGGCCCATAATGCTCTGGTAAAATGTACACTCCTCCTTATGTTTGACGATGGTGTTTGATACAAAGGCTACAAAGCACACTTTTTAATTCTAACACTTCTTCAAGGCTCTTTGAGGTGAAGACTCCTAAGTCTACATCACTCCTGCGGGTTATCCAACTTGCTCTGGACCACCAATCTGCTCACCAATCGCTCACCTATGAGCATCTCTCGTGAATCCCAGAGTCACAGTTCCTCTTTCTCACAGATTTTGTAGAACCATCCTGAGGGGCCTTACAATAAAGGATCCTACAATCTCCCTATTTCCTGTGCAGTCAGTGCTGGTGGGACTGTGGGGATGTGTACTCTGTATTTAAATCTGTGTTTTGGCTCCCACGCTGAGACCCTCGAAGGCCTCATTTGCTGCTGTTTGTCCTCCTTAGTTGTGTCTTGACCTACTTTCTACTAATACGTTCTTCTTCTTTTTTTCTTCTTCATCTTTTTCTTCAAGCTACTGTGGAGTGCTACAACCCAAGGACAAATGAATGGACATATGTTGCCAAAATGAATGAGCCACATTATGGCCATGCTGGGACGGTGTATGGCGGTTATATGTATATTTCAGGTAAGTGACTCCGGGGAACTTAAGTAAGTTAGTTTGTAACCAGTCCAAATACAGAGGGATATGTGTAATGTAATGTAATGTAATGTTTTGTGAATGTGTATTGAGGTTTAAAAATAGATTTTATGTCTTGCAGTCATAATTGAAGTGAATTTCTGTGCATTGTGATTTCTAAATAGATCGTTTTTTCTCTTCCTTCCCAAGCATTTAATGGCTCAATACATCTTATAACATTCAAGGCCATAAAATGTATTCTGGGTTTACCTCATCTGACACCTTTTCCCCGACTCCACTGCATGTCTCGTACAGCGCCATGAGTCACTGAGAGAACTGTCTGTGTGTGTTTTTGTTCATGTTTTTTTTTGTGATTGACACACTCATTAGTTTGCTGCAGGTTGGTGGGATCACACTGAGGTTTTTGAGAGTTTTTAGTGAGTCAGTAATAAGATTTCTAACAGTATGCTGATGCTGGGTTTGTATCTTTTGAACAAATGATTCCTCAAACACTTGATTTATCTGAGCACGCAGGTGAAGTTAGTTAAAGTCTGGTGAGGGTTCAGTGCTCCACCAGAGGCTGGACGCTGAGATCGGGCCTTTGGGCAGTTACTGCTTGCTCTTGAGGTGTCACGTCAATACGTGTTCACTTCACAGGATTGAAAACAAATCCTGCGTTATGGAGATGAGCCCTAGTTTCTCAGTGTGACTAATCCACAGCGGTTCTACAAAGGAAGGGGTGAGGGAGGGGTGGAAGGGAAATTGGGAAGGATGGAGCAAACTAGAGGACTGAAGCCTGTGTAGGAGGTGTAACACTGAAGAGCCTGTGTTAATCCCTCCTGGCCGTGGGTACTGTCATCGTTCTACAACGCATGAACATAAACAGTGTTCAGAAACCTGAAAAAAGGAGATCACTGGATATTTCCAATAGTGCAGATTTTTTCCTACAGTTGGTAATCCGTACCCTCAATGTCACAGCTGAACAACAGTCACACGACCAAGTTATTTCTAAACACATGTACGGTATTTAGTGTCAAAGCAGTCCGAGCTTGATCAAGTAAAATCTGGGATCACAAAAGAACAACAAATTACCAAAGTCAGAATTTCAACCAATTTGCAAGAGGTTTAAAGTGTATTGGTATTGGGGGATAGGCTTAGTCTCTACAGTCTTGGTGAATTAACATATATTAACATTAACAACATTAATATCTTGGCACTAGTCACATACTGTACGCGCAAACTGGGAGGCTTTAGCAAATGAAAATAAAAAAAAATAAAAAAAGCAGAAATGCAAATACAAAACCAACTAAAACAAAAAAACCTAACATATTAAAATGAACAACTGCTATAGAGCTTTGATATAATGACATTACTGTGTGGATATTGAGCTGCTAGTTCCTTATTCCGTTACTGAAGATCATGCAACCATTTGAGGTGGGAAGTTCCCTTTTGTGTTCCTTCTATAAAAAGGAGACTGAAGCCACTTCTCATTCATTCCTCATTTACAAAAATATGATCGTCATTTTAGATGCTGACTTTAGAATATAAAAGTTACTGTATCTGTTGGACAAATATTACATTTACAAACATGTTTCCCTTTTTAACAAATTCACTAACAATGACCACGCCAT